AAGTGACAACAAAACTATAAGAACAGCTCATATAAACAGAAAGAACAGCTGATAAAAACAACAAGAACAAATGATAAAAAAGTAAGAACAGTTGATTCAATTCAATTCAGTTTATTCATAAAGCACCAAATCACAACAAGTTGTCTCAGGGACTTTACAGGAACATTCACATAAAAGCCAGTTAGTAAAGTTCTCTATCTAAGGAATCCAGCAGACAAGATGAATCTTGGCTTCGTTGCAGTCTCCCATCCTGAGCAAGCACAGTGGAGACAGTGGAAAGGAAAAACTCCCTTTAACAGGAAGAAACCTCCAACAGAACCAGCTCAGGACAAGAGACCATCTGCTTTGACCGGCTGGTTGAGAGGACAGGAAGGAGAGACAGACGAACACAGAATGGTAGGTCCAGATATAGGTCCAGGTCCAGGTATAGGTCCAGGTCCAGATATAGGTCCAGGTCCAGGTATAGGTCCAGGTCCAGATATAGGTCCAGGTCCAGGTATAGGTCCAGGTGTATCTGAAAGACAAAAACATGTTAAGGATAGAAAAAATAATTACAAATACAAACCAGGTTGAGCAGAGTAAGTAAAGACAGTAGTAGAGTTAAAGTGTGGTCAGTTTGTCCTCCAGCAGTCTGAGCCTATAGCAGCAGAACTAAGGGACAGCTTAGGAAACCCAAGCCGACCCTAACTATAGGATTTATCAAAAAGGAAAGTCTTCAGCCTAGTTTTAAAAACTGGACAATGTGTCAGCCTCACGGACAGAAACTGGAAGTTGGTTCCACAAGAGAGGAGCCTGAGAACTGGAAGATCTTCCTCTCATTCTGTTTTTGTAAATTCTAGGAACCACAAGTAAACCTGCAGTCTGAGAGTGAAGTGCTCTGTTAGGAAAATATGGAACAATAAGATCTGTATCCTGATGCATGCTCAATAATCCAGGTAGAAAAATCCAAAAAAGTTCAATCTGGTCCTCTGGACATTCAAAAAAAAAAAAGGCAGGAGGCAGAAGGAGAAATCCCACACAAGACAGGATCTAGAGCAATGTGGATATCCTA